ATATAGTGTACTGAAATTAAAACTTTTCTGCTCTATGAAAGATAATATGAAGGGAATGAAAAGCCATAGACTTTGAGAAAAATATCCAAACATATCTGATAAAGGACTGGTATCTAAAATATATAAGCAAATATATAACAAACTCTCAACAAAAGAAAATAAACAACACTAACTAAAAAATAGCCAAGGACTTTGACACTTCACCAGAATATAAATAGGTATACAAAAAATATCTCACATCATATGCTATCAGGGAAATGAAAATAAAAACAAGAACTACTTCTACATACCTATAGAATGACTAAAATCCAGAACACTGACAATACTGATGCTGGTGAGGACGTGGCCCAACAGGAACTCTTGTTCATTGTTGGTGGGAATGCAATTTGGTACAGTTGCTTTGGAAGACAGATTGGTGGCTTCTTACAATACTAAACACATTCTTAGCTTATATTTGATTAACTATTCCCTTGGTATTTAACAAATGAGGCTAAAAACATGTCCACAAAAAAACTCATGCATGGATTTTTTTAGCAGTTTTATTTATGATTGCTGCACCTTGGAAGCAACTAAGATATCCTTCAGGAGGTGAATGGATAAGTAAACTGTGGTACCATCAGACAACGGAGTTTAATTCAGTGCTAGAGAGGATTTTTTGGGCAGTGAAAATACTGTATGATGCTATAATGGTGATACATGTCATTCTACATTTGTCTAAATCCCCAGAGTGTACATCACCAAGCACAAACCCTAATGTTAACTATGGACTCTGGGCAATGATGATGTGTCAGTGAAGGACATCACTTGCATCAGTTGCAATAAATATTCTGCTTTGGTGAAGTATGTTGATAATAGGGGAAGCTATGTATGTATGGGAGTAGGAAGCACAAGAGACATTTCTGTACCTTCCTTCAATTTTGCTGTGAACCTAAATCTGTTCTAAAAATAAATACATAAAATAAAATCAGGCATGGTGGTACACACATGTACTCCCAGCTCTTGGGAAATTGAGGCTGGGGGACTGTGAGTTCCAGCGAGTGTGTGCTACATAGGAAAAAAAATTTTTTTAAGTAAGCTTATGTCACTAATGCATCCAATAAAGCATTTGGAAGAACCCAAGAAGACAACCAAGAAATCCAATGATGAACAGATCCCCAAGAAAGGATGAACATCAAGATATAATGGCAGGGAATCCAGAGGCCAGTATCAGTGTAGACCAGATGCAAACTCCCCCACCCAACAACCCCCAATACCCCCACCATGTCAGTATAAAAGTAAGAATCTCTATCAGGCTACTGTCATTCCTCACATACCAAGCCCTCTACAGGAGCAAGAAATAACCTGTCCTGGTGCTCTTTAAATTGATAAACACTCAGGACATGCTCTTGATTCAACCTTTCCACCTGAAAGGGGAACCTGCCACTCTAGGAGTAGCACCTGATAGTGGGTTTCAGGAAAACAGCAAGGAAATAGGTAAAAGAAAAGCCTAGTTAGTCCTGCTACAAAATTTTGCTCAAGGCCAAATGGTGTGCTATATAGTATCATCTACCAAGTTGCTCAGGCAACCCCAGCAATTTTTCTTTTAACACTTTTTGCAAATGAGTGGTGAAATCATTATTTCACCCTAAAAATAAGAAACTTGGACACAAAACAGGCTAAGCAATTTGCCCATCCCCCCTCCCATTGGTAGCAACCCCCAGGCAGGACCTCTTAGTGCCTCTGCCCTCTAACCAGGCTCTTTCTGCATTTGCAGTACAACACAGCCCGTAGCATGAAAGAAATTAACACAGAACACGGAGGCATGCTAACTGGAATTACCAACATAAGCACTGGTAAAATTATAAATTTTTCTATGATACTTATAAAGAATTAATTTTAAACCTATTCATTCCTGGCCAAAAAAAAAAAAAAAGACACTAAATTTCTTCTTTAGCTTCTGGGTATGAAAATTATATTATAAGAAGTTAATTATAATTTAAAAATCTTAGATCATATTACAAGAAAGGGTATAGTGTAGAAACCTGTAAAGTGTTCATTATGATAAAAGAATATTTTGCCTATTAAAGTAAAAATAATAGGTGATATTTCCTCATATGTGATCAGTACTAAAAGTTTTCATATTTTCCAATTACTCATTACATTCTTTGCTACATGACATTTCATTTCCTACTTTTTATCTTTTTTTTAAACTAACCATTTAAAATTTCACAATGTGAGCAACAGGTTTACAATTCATACAAATTTAAGAACTAAAATATCTTACTGACTGAAACAAGCAAAGCATAAAGGAATACACAGAATGACATTTTTGTGGTTTGTTAAGCAGTTATCTTGGTTCCTAAATTGCTACAGCATAAAAGCTAGTATTTATAAATATTTCTAGTTTGTTGTAATTAGTGGACTGGAGAAGAGAGGTTTGGCAGGGGAGATTTTTATTCTTCATAATATTGCTTTAATATTGTCAGAAACTGGAATTTTTGTTTGGAAGAAATAAATGTTTTTAAATTCAAGACCTACCCCTGAGATCCTCCACCACTATGCTGGGATTATCTCTCCAGTAGAGGGCATGGTAGATTAAACATGGAGACTGTGGTTTCTTATCAGCCACTCTCAAGCTGTGGTTTTGCTGTGCATCTTTTACAACCCACTGCATTGTTTCTTCTTCCACCACAGAATGGAAAATATGTGTCATCTTAATATGAAGCAATCCTATTTACCTAAAAGCCAACTGCCAACAAAAACTCAAAGGAAGTCCTCAAAAATTGTAGCTTTCACTTTAAAAATGTCAGCTTGACATTAACATGGCAACCTTTTAAGGCTTCTGTCTGCAGCAGGTATTGCCTTAGCTCTTAAAATTACCAATACACATAAATATTACAAACTGGTTTACATTCAATTTATCAATCAAATTTTCAGGAAAAAATAACTGTACTTTAGCATCAGTTCTCAGTCTGAAAAGGTCTATGAAAAAGCAAATAATCATGTTAAACACAAAAAACATCCAGGATAATCAATATTTAAAACAGTTGCTTACATGGGTACATGTATATTCACTTTTGTTAACATATGAAAATTACTGAATTTATCTGGCTTTCAGATCTCTGAGGATTTTAAATGTTATTTTCCAGATAGCATTTACTAAATATCATAACCCTGACTCTACAAATCTGCAACATTATCTTGATATTTAACAGAATATATGCATTTATAACCTAATTAACAGTGAGTTAATCCTTTTGATTTTTCTATCTTGAAAAACTATGGTTTGTTCTTACATATGCAAATTAACAAACTTACAATTTATGAAAGGTCTTTCATGCAAGATTTATGTAACATTTTATGACACTGGCAACAAAGACGCCCAACACTACTCTTATTACAGATGAGAATGGGCTCCTGGAGGTGTGGAGTGACTGTCCCCACAGTTACTTATCACTTACTTGTTGAACACTGACTCTAATTAGGTCTTCTGACAGTCATAATTCCAGCTTGTTCTTGACTGTGTCTTAGAATTCCTGGTCTACAAGTGAACTTCAGTGTTTCTGAGTAAATTTTAATATTCAAAGTTGTAAATGAAAATATCCTTTATTTTGGATTATTGAAAAAAGTATGCTTGCATATCATGCATATTTAACACAGCAAATATGTCTGTGTATTGCACATATTTAATAAATAAGCACTGAATCATCAAAAATTCAAAGTAGATATATGAAATTTATACAGACTTTTGGAGCTGAAGAGCATATGCTTACAAAAAAAATTACATGCTTACAGTTTTACAACTACGTTCTTAAGAATCACTGAAATCTAAATGGTTCTCCTTTTTACTATAAAGTGCATAGCAATTCTCTGCTGTACTAACTGCAGTTGACTCTCCTAGTCAAACTTGGAGCTCCAACTACTGCAGGCAGCTGAGCACAGAAATGTGCTGGCTGGTTCCAATTTTCAACTATATGTCTTCAATTTTCTCTTAACAGATCTAATGCAAAGTAGGAAGAATTTCTGCATCTTAATTAATACCTATTGTTAATTTTTTTGTCTGGGTAGAGGCTTGATGGGGAAACCACCTGAATATTCCTTTGTAATATTATGAAACTGAATCACTTTGTGCCCTTACCAATTTAGTCATTTTAATGGCTACAGACCTAAAGAGAAATGGTTTTAGAAAAATACACAGGTGAAGCTGATTCAAGTCAACTGTCTACACCTCCCCATCCTCCCACCCAGCCCCAGCCACTCTTTTTGTCATGTGAATGATCTGGTAAATTCGAAGGAAATCCTGGCTTTCACTCTTACACTAGAGTGAGTCTGGTGCAACCCAGTTTCAAAATCTTTTGTTTCCCTCTGATCTTTCACCAAAGTCTTGTGATTTCCGTGTTGACAAGGAGACGCTGAGATCCAGGAAAGCTTCCTTGCACCGTGCACCCGTACATCTATCTGAAGACTAAAATGCAAAGCCAGTTAAACAAAGCGCTGTCTGCTGACTGGTGCTCATTCTCCGAGTTTGCACACGGTCACAACACTGCCTGGTGGTCACCGTTTCAGGGACTGGAACGGCGTTGTGTGTGGGGCGGGTGGTTTGCCCCCATTTCCTCCCCAAATCAATTGGTACCGCAGAAAGAACCCGGCACGGGTCTCAGTTTGCAGACGAGGGGGCCTCCGTGGGTCTTCAGAGCATGCCTGCGACCCACGAATGAGACGCTCACAAAAAGGAAGGGAAAAGAAAAAACAGGCCCCGGTGTCCGGCTGGCACCGAGCGCCTTTCGCAGCTGGGGCTCAGCGCTGGGCTGGCACAGGTGGGCGGGGGAGAGGGCGGGGGAGGGGAGGAGGAGGGAAAGGGGAGGGGGAGGGGAGGGAAAGGGGAGGGGAGGGGAGGAGGGGAGGGGAGGGAAAGGGAAAGGGAAGGGGGGGAGGGGAGGAGGAAGGAAAGGGGGAGGACGGGCCGCAGCCCAGCCCTCGGATCCCGCCGGCCGCCACCCCTCGCCTCGGCAAAGGTCAGTAACGACCGCGCACACCCAAGGGTTTCTTCTGTTCCCACTCGGGTGCGCACGAAACCGATGCGCCTACGTCAGCAGCGCCCGCGCTTCCAGACCCTTCGGCGACGGCCGTGACTGCCGCAGGTCGGCGCTGCCCCGCCCCCGGGCCCATCTGAAGCCGGCCAATCCGCGCCCTCTGGAGGTGGGGCCGGCGCCGTGAGGCCCCGCCCCTGAGCCGCAGCCTGTATTAAAAGCCGCGGGGCGTGCCGACCCGCAATCAGCTGAGGCGCCAGCTGGGAGGGCTATAATGCAGAGTGCCATGTTCCTGGCTGTCCAGCACGACTGCGTACCTACCATGGACAAGAGTGCAGGCAGTGGCCCCAAGAGCGAGGAGAAACGGGAGAAGATGAAACGGACCTTGTGAGTACGGCTGTCTTCTCTTTCCCGAGACCCCAGCCAGCACTAGGGGTCTGCTGCAAACACCGTGCCTTGGTCTGGGTTTTGACTTTAGCAAACTCGTTAGCTTGCGCCTCTGCAGGAAAAAGACAAAGAAAAAATGAATTTGCTAAATCTGGTGGTATATACTGATTTCCTAAGCTAAGGACCGGGTAGAGTTTAGGTAGGAACTCGGAAATTGATAGATGGGTTTTTTTGTTCTTTCAAAATGACCTCAGAAGCCTGCGGCGGAGGCGTTCCTGCGTTGCACTAAGTGCTCTGATCCGCTCCAGGGCTGCTGGGTGGAGATGTGCTGGCTGGTCTGAGTGTATTCGTTTTGGACCTATTTTTAAATTACAGAGTAGATCTCACCTGGTCACGACTGTGACAAGTAATTGTTCTGCACTATCTGCTTAAAGGGAGTTTTGTAGGTGGGGGATCAAGCCCTTGCTTCTCCCTTGTACACAGCCTCTGACGTGGTCCAGGACCTCCTGTTCCTCCCAGGGTTGAGAGAAAGGAGTCCCAGCTGGCCCAGGCTGGTCCACTGCTGTCCAGTCTCATTAACCTTGCAGAGAAAGTGCTGCCCTTTGTGGGCCAGAAATAGTGCCTATGCTTTTTAAACTGTGAGAACTAAATTTATTATTAAAATATCTTAGTGATTTTAGGTCGTCCTGTCCTTAGTTACATTCAGATGAATGGATACAATCGTGTTCAGAACATGAGGTGCTGGGTTTAAGTGTTTTGGAGATAAGATGCCCCTTGCTTGGTCTTACTGGTTTTTCTGTGGTTATATGACTTTATTTAGTAAAAATGCCTCCAACTGTAATAGCATATTCACGTATTGCTATTTAGTAAATACCTTTTTTTTTCTCTTTTTTAGTTTAAAAGATTGGAAGACCCGTTTGAGCTACTTCTTGCAAAATTCATCCTCTCCTGGGAAGCCCAAAACCGGCAAGAAAAGCAAACAGCAAACTTTCATGAAGTAAGTAGGGAATCTGTACTTGCAAATATGAAGGATTAGCTGCTGAACTGAAAAGGGGAACTGTGGTGTGCACAGGTTAATGTGTGGAACTTCTCTTGCAGGCCATCTCCTGAGGAAGCACTGCTGTGGTCAGAAGCATTCGATGAGCTGCTAGCAAGTAAATGTAAGTTAACCCTTGAATTTGATCCATTATACTACACAGGAGTATCCACCCCACATGTGGGCAGTTTGCAAGAGAAGAATTACACTTTACAATCACTATAGCATAAAGCCTATTTTTCTCTCTCTTATTTCTCAGTGTTTTGTTGTGGAAACGCATAGAGTAGTCACTCCAGGTGGGGAAGAAAAATTAGCCTAAACATTAAAATGACAGCCCCTCTTAGTTAAGGTTGAGTCAGCTTTTCCATTGCATACAATGTTTTCAAGAGCCCTAGTTCCCAGAGAATTTATGATTCCCCTATAAATATTTATTCTGCATTAACGGCAAAGTTAAGTATAGTTTTTGTAGCAGAGTACAACTTAAGCACTTTTCCACTGGCATCTTACAGCTTAAAGAGCTAATTTCTGAGAGTTACAGGTTTGAGTGAAATCTAGAAGTAGAAAACATAGGCATTTTCTGGTCACTCGGTTCTTAACATTCTGCATATTTATTTTCTCTCCCTTCAGATGGTCTTGCTGCATTCAGGGCTTTTTTAAAATCTGAATTCTGTGAAGAAAATATTGAATTCTGGTTGGCTTGTGAAGACTTCAAGAAAACCAAATCACCTCAAAAGCTGTCCTCAAAAGCAAGAAAAATATATACTGACTTCATAGAAAAGGAAGCTCCAAAAGAGGTAAGAAAAAGATTTTTCATTTCAGCATAATTTAGACATCTTTAGCACCAAAATGAAATGCATCAAATTAAAGTGCAGTTGGGGAGAGCCATTTAAGATGTTCCACCCTTGCTCTTCTTTCAATTAAGTTTCTCCCAAATTGACTGGTGAAGTTAATCACACATTTTTTTTTGTTTTCAGATATTAAATTTTAGTCTTTGAATACCAAATAAGCAACTTTTTTTTTTCAGATAAACATAGACTTTCAAACCAAAACTCTGATCGCCCAAAATATACAAGAGGCTACAAGTGGCTGCTTTACAACTGCCCAGAAAAGGGTATACAGCTTGATGGAGAACAACTCTTATCCTCGTTTCTTGGAGTCAGAATTCTACCAGGACTTGTGTAAAAAGCCACAGATCACCACCGATTCCCATGCTACATGAGATGAAAGAAGGAGCCCCAAAACAGAGGACATTTCTTTCTTTTTCATAAGGGGAAAGGCTCTGACTGGCCAAAAAGACTAACCTTGCATTCAGCCTGGGTGTTCAGGAAACATCACTCAGAACTATTGATTCAAAGTTGGGTAGTGAATCCAGAAGCCAACAATCTAGGGGAAGCTTGTGTTAGAAGGGCTTCCCTTACTGTGTGAAGAACATGGGGAGGGAACAGTGGTCTCAGAGTGCTGTGGCTCACTGGAAAAGCAGTAGAGTGAGGTGAAACATAAGACGTAATACTGTTGGTCCAAATATATTTAAAATAAATAGGTCTAGGATTATGTGGCCTTAGCCAGCTGGCTGTACATCTTTCTCTAAATCAGTCCATGTGACCACATAGTGGTTTTAGTTTTAGTTTAGAGGTTTTTTTAGTACTAAATTACATTAAAATGTTTACTGTATGCAAGAGTATTTGAAGTTTTTAGGACTCCAGTTCATCAGTACTGTTGTCTCATGTATTGCTGAAACTGAAAAGGTCTATTTGAATTGTTAAATGGTGTGTGAAATGGAATGAATGGTGTTGTGTAGAAACCTATGGTGTCCGTTATGAGTGCCAAAAACTGTCTTGAAGGCAGCTAAACTTTGAAGTGGTCTTTGAATACTTTATAAATAAATTTATTTTGATAAATAACATCATTGAACATGTGGGGTCTAGATGTGAGTCTTATTTGATTTGATTTTAATTGGAAATATGCAGATATAAGGGAAGGAAATACATTTTTCTAATAAAGAAAAGACATCACGGTTGACTAGTTATGGTGCCTGTCCAGTGAGAATTGAGAATCATTGGGAATGTCTTCCCAATGCAGGGAAGACGTCATCTTTTTTAAACTTCTAAGCCATAATATAGGACTAAAAATGTCAAGTCACATCCAAAGAACCACTCTGTGTTCCTGCTTTCTCATATAATCTTGTAAAATCAAGCTTATTATTTAGTAGAAACAATAGAGCATTGAACTAGAGCCCTTCATGAATTAAGGATCAACTAAAAATGAGAAGTAAAATAACAATGGAGACAAACACCAAAATTACATAGCTAAGCTTCTGAAGTGAAGAAAGAAGTAAGGTGATACAGACCTGACTTTTTAATTCTTGTTTCCAAGCTCCCCCACAGATACTCACATGTTCTCCTGAGATACCTAAAAACCATTCCTCTGTAACAGACCAATACAAAATCTCAGATTTTCCTACATCCCCTGCTTCATTTTGCTAACAATAGATAAGAGAGAAAGTATACTTCTGTTTCTTAGAATTAACCCAGGAATGTGCTTTTTCCCAGTTTAGAAGGGTACTATTTTTCAAACTGGTTCAAGAGGAATACACATTCCTTCAACAGGCTGCTTTTTACTCTCTGATTCAGGTTTTGATAAGTGGGGGGGAGGGTCAACCCTCATCTTGTTGTTTAAAGACCTGATCCCACAAAATGACTTGCCATAGCTTTGTTGACAGACTGCTTTTGTCCACTCCTATATGCTGTCCATAATAATGAAACAGATCCGTAAAAGAATAAATGAATTCTGCAGGGTCATTGAAGCAGTGATATTGACCTGGGATATAAATATAATAGGTATGCATGCTTCTTAATTTGTAAAGGTTTTTGGCTAACAGAGGAATAAACCCAGGAGTCATGCCATCTATCCACTTTGCCACCAGGTCCTTTTTTATCTCACACTCTTTCCAGCCTAGTCTCTCACCCACCTGATCAAGGAGGCCATTTGATGCCTTGACAAATGCAATTGTCTCAACTTGTGCTCTTCTGCCCACTCTCCTCCCCACCATATGTGTTTCCTGACCTTTAACTGTATGAATCCTTTCAAACTCAAACTTGTTCTTGGCTCTCGTTGTTTACAAACCCTTGACAGGTCTTCTGAATATTGGGAAAAAGACAATATTTCTAATATAGCTAACAACTGCAGCATTTGATCCCCCCTACTATTCCAACCTTGTCTTCAGGACATGTCCCTAGCTCTTTACTGCCACGTGGGCCTACTTTCATTCCCCTGAAGGTGCTACACCCATTGGCTCCAAAGGACCTTTGCACCTACTATTTTCTCTGCACAGAGTGCAATTTTATTTCTTACTCATCACTCACCTAACAATGCAATTGACACTTCTGTGGGAAGCCTACCCTGGCCTCCTTAAATAAATCATATGCCTTTTTAGATGTCATAGCACCAGGTTTTCTAACTTAGAGCAATTAATGGAGTTATCAGTTCTCATTAATTTGCCTAATAATTTGGTAAATCTATCTACCCAACAAGATTGTGGATACCAGAAGTGACAACCCTATGGGTTTTTTGTTTTTCTTTCTGCTTACTGCAGAATTCCAATATCTAGCACAGTACCTTGCATATAGCAGGAGGCACATGAATAATTAAATGACTGGATGAGTATTGAAAGATCCTGTAAGCTAAATCTGATGAAAAAGGAAGTATTTACCAATGCATAGAGAAGTAAGGACACGATTTAGTGGGGTTTAGTTTGTTTTATTTGTGGGAAGAGGGGTCTCATTATGTTGCCTAGACTGGTCTCAACAAGCGATCCTCCTACCTCAGACTCCCACATAGCTGGTACCACGGCCACAAGCCACTCAGCCCAACTTTTAACGACAAGATTTTAAGAGCCCCACTGACTCAAATGTCTGCAAATACCTGTGGAATTTTTCATTTGGCAATCAATATTTTTTACTAGGCATGTTCTCTGTGACTTTTGACTTTAAATAGAAGAGGAAGTCAGATTATAGTAACAACAACAAAAAAAAAGAGTTTTCACTTTCAAGGCTGATAAAAGCACAGGCTTTATTCAGGTGGCATTTTCCAATGTCCTTTAGTATGGAACAAACTGAAATAGATTTAAGATTAGAAACCACATACCGCCACAAATAAATATTACTTAATGTTCCAGTTTCCCGGAGTTCACCTCTTAGGATCCACAGTACATTCATTTTGATAATATTTCATTGTGTACATATTTTAAACCAAAGGATGTTTCAAAATACAGTAGTTTCATAGTCATACAGTCACACTTAAAAATAAGAGAAAAATTGCGTGTTACCTGGTAATAAATGAGTTTCAAAGAAATCTCTTGAAGTGATCATTAAGTGATGAGTAACAATTTCACAGGAAGGGGTCTTTGGTAGAGCTTTTTTTTTTCTCCTGTGTTGTTTTATTTGATCATTTGGAGTTGGAGAGTGAAGAGAAGCCATGGTTGTGAATTTATCTGTCAGGAGAAGCATCATGGATGAGACTACATTGTGCATTTATAATGTGGAAACCATGAAGTGCCTATACTGTGCCAGGCACTGTTCTCTTTCTAACTCTGTTTTCCTATGTTAGCTCCAAATTGCAGCTGAAGGAATTAGTCTGATTTTATAGAGAGCTCTGCCACTATTTAACAGTGAACTTTGACATGTACAGACACTCCCCCAGTCTTGCTCAGATGCTTTTGATAACATTCAAAAATTATTTTGGTCAATGGCAATTAGATGAGTTTTATCTAATTTTTGACAGCTAGGGAAGAGCATGCAGTTGCTTGATTTGATGATGAGTACCCCAATGAACTTCTGTAGCCTACAGGATAAAAGAGGAATCACCAAGAGTAAGAAGTACATTCTAGTCTAAGACAATAGCATTAAATAAAGACCAGATATTAATCATTTTTGATCCATGGTTCAGATGACCAGAGCACACAATATGTGAAGGACAAGGTGCAGGAGGGGAAGTAGAAGGGTGGCTAAGGAGCAAGTGATAGAGGATCTTGAATACTACAGGTTGAGATAATATTCTGAGAGCATCCAATACCAATAATCCACATGAATTTTTGAAAATAATTTGGGCAGCAATCTCAAGGATGGAGGGGAGGCAGGGAGATCAGTTGAGACTGCTAAGACTGATTATTAGCTCAGGTGAGACATTCTACTTGCATGAACCAGGATAGTATCACCAGATACTTTAGTGTAACCTACTAGTAAACTAAGCATTGCCTACTCTGGACAGAGCACTGATCTAAACTGCACAGAACATAAGTATACAGACATACCTGATACATTCCCTGTGCTCCAAGGGGCACCAATTAAGAAGCTAATGAAATAAGTATAAAAATCAGATAGTTAGACATGGAGTCACATGTCTATAATCTCATCACTTGGGAGACTGAGGCCAGAAAATCTAGAGTTGTATGCCAGTCTGGGCTCCCTTGCCATTTCCAGGCCATCCCCTAGGCTATAGTGTGAGAGACTTTTTCAAAAAAAAACAATAAAGAAACAAACCAACAAATAAATAATTTATTACATAAGGTTGTCTATGATCAGTGATTTCAAAAAAGAAGTACAAATACTGGTAGCTAGAATGAATCAAGAAACTACTGAAGACCAGGCCTGAAGGCACAGGTCTATAATCCCAGCACTCCAGAGATGGAGGCAAGAGTATATGGAATTCAAGGCCAGCCTTGGCTACTTACTGAATTTGAGATCAATCTGGACTACAGAGAATGGTCCTGTTTCAAAGAAAAGAATAAGACAAAGGAAGTAAGCGAAGTGGCATTTTTGATGGTATTTAAAGAATGTGTAGGATTTTAGTAGAGATAAAGGATGTAACATTTAGGGTCTAGAAACAGTATAAATAAAAGGTAAGAGGAAGAGCAAAATTACGTATTGTACTGTGCTGTGATAATTCAGATGGAAGTGGTTTTTAATGGGAATATATATAAGAAAGCTATTCCAATGTTTGGCCTTTGGCAAATAATTATGAAGAGTTTTCTGGGCAAGGAGAGTGTAAAAGAATAGAAGAAATGGTCATAAGCTAAGAAGGAAAGAAATGTTGAAAGCAAAAACACAACTCAAAAGCTGCTCTTCTTTTTTTAAAAAATAGACTGCAGAAGATCATCAACCATAAACACATCATCATAATGTCATCAAGCTTTATCTACTCTTCCCTGTTGATGTACCAGGTATCTTTCCCGTCTCTCACTGTATTAGTTACTTTTCATTGCTGTGACAAAATGCATGAGAAAAGCAACTTAGCAAAGGAAGTATATATGAAGGAAACTTCATATATAAAGTTTCAATCTATGGTTGGCTGGCTTCGTTGCTTTCATGTCTGAGTGGGCAGAGACATGATGGTGGAAAGTCATGGAAGAGAAATAATGCCATCAAATTAGGAACCCATCAATGGATTAATCAATTGAACAGGTCAAAGTTCTCATGATCCAATCCCCTCGCAATGACTGGATTCATCAGCTGGGGACCAAGTCTTCAACACATGATCCTTTTGGGGGACACTTCATATCCAAACTACAAAACCCACTACTGCCAAGGGCTTATGCACCATTGTCTAGCCTCTCATCTAGACCTCAGTCTCATCTAGACCTTGTCCTGCTTCCAATCTATTCCCTGGAATGCTGTTTGAACACTGATTTTCTCAGGTTATTCTTATTCCCAGATAAGTAGATGAACTCCCTGGTTTCTCACAAATCAAGGAAAACTCCTGTGTCTAAGGCTAAAAATTGTCTAGAATTTGGCTTGCTTTGTTTTCCTGTCCATTCAAACTTATATCTCTGTAGTGACCAGAAACATTGCACCAGGTTTTCTTATTGTACCTGGGAAATATGTTTCTCCTATTACTAGGAAACATGTTCCCTAAAATG